TGTTCATTCAATGCTCGGTTGCTGCGTCAATGGCCGACAATTCCCACAGAAAACGGTTGGATGACAGGATCGCATCTTTTCGTATCGATTATGAGGATATCCTAAGGGAAGTCTGCGGCCAGCAAAGCGCCGAACCGTCCAAACGACCGACCCACACCTAGTCGGCGTTTTTATATGAAGTACCAACGACAAGGCGCAGGTTATATGGCACAGAAGGCATCGGTGGGGCACGTTCGACGCCGACCGGGCAGAGAAAGGAAAAAGGGCGGTGAGTGAAAGGGGACGAAAACGACAATTGTGTCATCTTTGTATGCTCCTTGTGCCAGGACGAAAATAACATTCCTCTTGCTACCCCTTTCTTTGGAAGATGCGAGCCTAGCGACGAGATTCCACTCGGAAGACCAGTCAGATTGCCTCTTTCTCGGATCACTCTAAACGCTGCAGCAATTTCGCTTTGTGCGATCCTCAGATTCGCAATAAGGTGACACGCAAAGAAGTGATCTCAAAATTACGAAATGTTTACGATATAACAGCATTTCCTTCTCGTCCTGCTACTGCTGGAGCTGTCTTGTCTTCTCAGCAACTAGATACAATCCTTGACATTCAGTTCTGTACGTATTTTTCGTCTGTGTTTACTTCTGCGCACTTGGTTTACCCCATCTATGTATCCCCTTAAGATGTATTTGTTACTGTCCTAACGGAACTTTTTTTTGCAAGAAAAAGATTTCTTTTTTTTTTCACCATTTCAAACGTAAAAATCAACCGACTATAATCAGCACCGTTACTAATGATGTCATCACACGGTACCCCATTGTCGGATTGTAGATGTTACCACCTCGGTTAGGGAAACAACAAGAGTACATATACACACGACCAAATGGAAGGCCAGTTAACTCTGAAGGTAGGTGAATTGTAGGCGCGTGTATTGGTCTGGACATTCTGTGTTAACTTAGCGAAATTAACAATACCGGTCGATAATTGTCATAATAAAAATAATAATGATGTGTATTTCATCCTAACAGATATACCTTACGATTGTGATTTAGAGAAGACTCAATGAGGTTATTTCGGTTACTATTGCTTAGTGTTGACTTTTACAAGAGGAGACTAATTTTTCGTTAGCTCGTACAACCCATAGCATGGGGTTTTTTAACCATTCTCGTGAACGACCTTAGCCGTCGAAACGCGATCAGGACCGTTCCAGGAAACACGTATTGCAGTCTATGTTGATTAAAAGAGACCTTTGTACTTAAATTTGATTAACACGCTACTGCCTCGGTACACGACTACAGTCGTCTAGTCAGTATCTAATCCTCGGTATTAACTATATGTAATTTCCTTATTATAAACGCCCTCATGTGCCTCATACACAGCGCCTTTAGACTGTCGGCGCATAGCGAGCCTGAAGAAAGCCTTGAATGTCATTACACCGATGTGAGTTGGTTTATCACTAATAGCAACACTTCCAAGATTTTTTAATGTCGTCAAATATTTTGTATGAAACGCTAAAGATATTGATTGTGCTTTATTACGTGGTCAGATAATTCACACAACTATCTTTCAATTATTAACTTAGCAAAGTTTTGTTACTATCAGCTGTTGACATCCCATTCATACGCGTGTAAAAGTGACACTTATATTAATAGCCAACAACCTCAATACACTTATGTTTGGAATACGCAAACCTAAATAATCAGCTGTGTTTTTTTTAAAAACCAAGGTCGTCAGTACCAGAAATAGTCCAACGTACGGTGAATGAGTGCCTGCCTTCCCACGTTCGCTTTTTCATCGTGCTCTTCATGCACGGTTAAGTGACCTTTTTGAGTTAATTAGTTTACACCGCTATGTAATGTGCTGCACAAGTACGATCCCAAGCCTGCTGTCCTGGTTCGCCGTCCACAGTCTACCATTTGCTTAAAGGACTTGAAATCAAAGAATCCCCAATAAACCAATCCTGTCTTTTGACTTTTAACAATAGTTCGTCATATAAAGGAGGGGAAAAGGAGAAATCTTTAAAAATTTCGAAAAAGAAGCAAAGGTATCATTGGCCTTATCCAATCGAATGAGAGCCGACACAGAGGCAGCTACAAATACTTAGCATCCGTCTACCAAGATCGTTAGCCAAGCAAAACTTTCCCGTTCAGCTTTTATTGGATGAATCGGCGACGTTTAAGATAAGTGACATTGTCGTTTCTGCCAAGGAAAACTACTGAAGGAAGATCAAGGCAAAGGGTGATATCTCTATTCTAGCAAACCGTCCGTCTGGTACCGGCTGCGAATGTGTAGCTTCTTCACCTTTGTTAGACGGTGCCTTCCCCCAGTCGGCTCAGAGGCTGGTCCACATCCCGGATCGTCCCTTTGCCTTCAGGAGTGTGGGGCACGGACGAGTTGACAGGGAGCAGGGAGTTCTCGCCGGGTCCACGTTCCAAATCAACGGGCTAGTCAAGAAGTGGGATTCAGGAGAAGGGGACAGCTGGCTTGGGGAAAGGTCTGCGACTATAGGAAGTCTAGACAACCGAACAGCAATTGCTTGAGTTCCTGCTAATAAAGCCACTTCCAGCTTCTCTAATTAAAACTAATGTCGCTTTTACTACGTTGGTGCGCGTTCAAGTCGAAGTCTTACTACTAAGTGTCCCGGTCAGCCGTAGCTGGCCATTGCAACAGGCCAACAGGCTGTAGCAATAAATACCTTTCGAATGGTGATAGAAGAGCTAAAGCAAATTGTCGATGAACTGTACAACGATTCAAACTTCCTTAATGTTCTTGAGTTTATTAAATCGTGATCAGTGTTAACAGTTGTACATAATAAGTAGAGAGCTTCGGCAAAAAAAATACTGTATATTATGAAAGAGCATCACTTATGTGTCACATAACTATAAAAACACACATAAAAAGCGATGCACTGTCTTCCATTGTCCAGTTATAACAGGCCACTTCTCAGCTAAAGTTATCTACAAATCACTGTAATTATTACTAGCAGTAATAGGAAAATTGATTGTGCAGTTTTTACAAACGAAACTTAATTACTCAATTAATTTGTTTCTTTTGGTCCACTTAATCGGCAAGTTAATTTGACTGCGCCTTTGGTTCTGATTGAATGTTAATAGACATATCTGATAAGTGTCTTTCCAGTGAAAAAAAAGGTGGTCATGAATATAGTAATACCTTTTTTGTGTGTGAATATATATATATATATATATATATATTTGTATATATATGTAATGCCTCGGTATCAGCGTGTTACTCCATGCGACTTTCGTTTCATGCTTAGCATTAAGTGGTCGATCGTAGTACCTCATGGCAATTTCCTGATGTGGGGCGCCTGCAAGTAGTTGGTTACTGAAGACCCTTTGCATGCGATGGTGAGCGTTTATGAGCCCGCGGGTGCGTTATGCACTATTTATGACAGCATAAAGTGGCTCTAATCGAAACGACGTTTTTTGCGCTTCTCATTACGTCGTCCACGAACGAGAAAAAAGCTCGCGTGAGCTGTGTTCCAAAGGGGAACGATAGTATTCATATATTATAGGTAATTAAGCACCTATATATATAACTGGATTAACGAATACCCACTCATCAGTGGTTTGATATGTATGAGTTGACCCAAATATGATGAGGGGGATTCTGATTACAGTACTTGTCGTTAATGCAATAAAAGAAATTGGTGTTCCCTTATACAACCTTATTAGTTATTAGCGTAAGGCACAAAAAAATGCCCAAAAGCAAGCACGAATGACTTTCAAAAAGATGTGATTCAGGTCTACTGACTATTGATTCAATAGTGAAGAAGCAAACTTGAGTATTTCCCTAAATTCCACTCATTTCTTCAGAATCGTTCCTAGGCATCCTTTAAGAAGCTTAGAACTTTAATGTCGCGAACTCCCAAATATCTGATAGTCCTCAAAGACGGCTATACTTACTTCCTTTAAACCTATAACCAGCATGAGTGCGTTATAAATTTCTTTAACAAGGAGTAACAGTCCTAAACTACAGGGAAGGGATAGCCTGATAGAGACATCGAAATTGCACCCACATTATTTTTTAGCAATAATAGAGTATTTTAGTCCTAAAAACTTACCTCAGATTAGTCTTAAAAGCAAGCTCCTTACGACTATTAATATAGAAGCGTTGTCAATGAAATAGAATAACTATGGGGCATACTTTTAAACGACTGTAAATTGATTTCTGTATTATTTTCCATTTCAAGCTGTGCATTATTAGGTAGTGCCACCATGTAAATGTGACCTGTGAATTATTTTAGAGGCAACATATAGCAGAGATTATACCTTTACACGCCGGATTATTCTTATTATACGTATAACTTATTCTTCGTGCAAGAAGTGTATTTATAAAATGGTCCGAAAAACGACTAATAAGGCAGGTTTTATTTTGTTTCGAGGTACGCTTAGTTTTTTAATCTTTTGCTGAAAAACAAAAGTCAGTGACCTGTTTAGCACGTGTATACTTGATAATAGCTATCTGAGTCCGTGATGACTGCACGGGGTTTTCCTTCTTGTATCAGCGTACCCTCTGGAGGCCTAGTGCACCATTTTTCCGCGCGTAGGAACAGACAGATTCACGCACACACATATTTGCTTTTCTGCATGTGTAGGTGCACGTGTATGAAAAAGCAACGACCAATTTTTTTTTACTGGTTACTCTGAGAAAATGACATAGCTTTTTTATTCTTGACAGTATATTAAGCATATATCTGGATAAAAAGCCTATCATGGAAAGTTACGGGCCGATGAACCAATTGACTTACATTTTGGACGTAGAAGCAGATAACTCAACCACGATTCACACGTAGTATGTCGGAATGCTAAGGTACATGATGATACCCAACTGAATATCGAACATCTTCGCTTAAGTATTATCTATTAGCGAGATATAAACAATATGCTGAGGAAATTTATATATATATATATATATATATATATATATATTCATTTTTTCTGGGTTTTTCTCTTCCCATGGTTTATTTTACTTTGAGTTTCAATTATAACGGGGACCCGGGTCAATGCACACATATATTAATCTCCGGGATGTTTTGAAGTTGACGCACGGCGTTGGTCTGCGCCATTTTAGCTTAGACAATGATAGCGCAATGAATATGCACAGGGAATGGAAGGTTTTTGCGTGCTTTCCATCCTTCTAGACCTTCTCCGTCCGAAGGCAGGTCCGCACCTCTCATCAGAAAGACTTGGATGAGTAACCAACCAAGTAAATCGTTTATAAAAATATAAGATTTGATTATTTTGTACCACAGTAAGCCCAATGAGCCTGGGTGAGTTTTCTCTGTTTTGTGATTGAACGATACCTTTGTAGTTAGCATAGTGCATAATTACTCTATTCATGTTTAAACGAACATATAATTATGTCTTGCTTTTGAGTGACTATTTCAAGGTCCGCTGTAATCAGTAAATAGACGATTTCCCTATAATTTAAGCCGATGCCCATCAAAATCCTCTGGTTTCAACTCGATTGAAAATGTGTTCGAACGATTAGTCTCGTGTCACACATAGTCACCCCTCAATCGGTATTTAGTTGTTCGTTTACTTCGTTGCTTCTATGCCTTTAACGTTTCTAGACGTGCGTTGCGTTGGCTTGTATTCTAAGGAACTTGTGCTTGCTGTACCAAATTTTATTTTTGTTCTTGGAGAAACAGTCGTCGTACGATCGAAACAGTCCTTTACACTAAGTCATAGAACTATGCTTAAAGCTAGGAAAGAAAGTAACAGAAAAGGCCAATAACTCTATACCTAAATATCATCTATTGTCAACTGATATTATAACAAGCTAAGCTCAGATCACTATTATGGTTATACAGTTGTGACAAGTTCTTGGCCGTTGCTACAGCTGCCAATTAGTACAGTCCTATATAGTCACGAGATTTTAAGGCTACAACTTAATCTTAATGACGTTGTACATCACCGTATATTATGTACGATAATGTACAGGCCTTCTTCCCTGTTTTCTGTTACTCCTGTGCCCTTTCACTTTAACCAGCATCTGACCGTCGACCCACTTGGTCGTCGTTTTTTTTTTGCGATCTCAAACAATTCTTTTTGTTTGTGATGTGGGTAAACTTTTGTCGAGTGGTGTCGTTAAGTCGACATCCGCAGTGTACTTACTGTACGATCACATGTTTGCTTACACTTTCTTCGATGGAGGCCTTTAACGGTAATTCTTCGCCAGCCCCCTTCGCTTCTTCCCGTTTTCTCTAGAAGGAGACCGGATAAAACTTACTGAGCATGTTATTTCTTCTTTTCACGCCCTTTCGTCGCATTCTTTCCCAATCTTTTATCCGTTTGTTCTCCGGTTCTTTTCCTCGATGCGACCTTGTACGTTGTATTCACTCGCTTTCTTTTTCCGTTTCCATCTTTCTGCCCCCATATTTTTGCTCTGTCGAAGTCTCAACACTTTTCTATTTTCCCCTTATTTCCCCGACGACCTTTCTTTTTCACACTGTGGCTGTTGTTATCTCAACCTGGTTTTGAATTCCCGTCTAGACGTTTGCTATTTCTTCACCATCCGTTTTCAGATATATTACCAAGCTTCTCTGCCACTCTGCCGCTTTCACGTCTCAAAGCCCTTTCCACCTGTTTCTCCGTTTAGACCAACGATCCGTAGACGTTCCCCATTTTTGCAGCGATGTGACCACTCCTTTGGCACTCTCCAGTGCTAACTTGCCTTCTTTGCTCCCTGTCTTTCCCTTTTTCTATGTAGATATATAGATATCTCTCGCCCTAGCGCCGCTTCTCTGCGCCATTAAGCTTCACAGATCAGTACGAATTTTTCAACTCGTGGGCCTCGCGCGTAGGAACTATCAATTCTAGATTGATCATTGACATTGCGAAAAGTGGCGGACAGAAAAACGGTAGAGGTTGCTGTGGAGAAATAACCGTAGAAGGTTTAGTGCTGCCGAAATCACAATAGGACACCGGAAGCGGCAAGCGGAAAGGGGCGAGAATAACAGCAATAATAATAATAACAAAATCAGCAATGATACCAATAAGGCATATTGGGACGCCTGCTGATGGCTGTGACTTTTATAGAGAGACAGAAGAAATAAAAGGGACGGTCGCCGCTGCCGCAGTTGCAATCATGACGGCACTGGGATGGCGTTACCATTACTAGTGCTAGTACCAGAGATGGTAGCAGTGGCGACGCGACGCGCAGAGGACGATATCGACACATCGATTGATTGAATGAATGCGTTTCTTTTTCTCTCTCCCCCCGCTTTTTCCCTAAGCTCCGTTCTCCTGATCCTCGTGCTATCGTTAGTACTGCTGCTGTTCCTATCATCTTTACTACTGCTGTATCGGCTGTTCCTTACGTACGGTATTTTTCCTTCACGGCCCGATCGTGCTTGGCTCGAGCATTAGCGCTTCCTCCGATGCTCTAAACTACACACTCTCGTACTGACAAGCGGTATTAACAGTAGGCGGTGGTACGCAAGAATAGGACTACGTTTTAGGAAGAGTAAGCGTTGGCAGGACATCGTGGCTAGTCGAGGGAGGGGCGCGTGACACCCATGTTTTGCTATTGCTCACAGTAGCTGTGGCTGGAAGCCAACTTTTGTTTATGCCTCTTAGACGACATCGAAAAAAGATCTTTTCCAATAAAGAAAAAAGCGGAATTCTCATAGCTTTGCCGATCATCCTTCGGCTAATTTTCTTCCATTTTGACTCTGCTCAGCTGCTCACCATAGAACGTTCGAACTACTCCTCGCCTTTGTATCTCGTTTACGTTCCCGAAGGTCCTATAATGCAGTGTTTTTTTTATTGCTACCGTGCGTTAGGTATGACGCGATGAGACGGTAGTACGGCGCCGACTATTACACAAACCAGAACCGCTGAGTACAATTATGAAAAGGTGATAGCAGGAAAGAAACGCTCTATTGAAAAGCTTCCTTATTGAAAGCTTCTATGGGCTATGAGCTGCCTCTAGGTCAATTAAGCGTGTACAGTTTATTAATATGATAGATTTTTATTCTACGCTAGTGGATTTATCTCCACAAATAGAGTAACAAGCATTTAAACGGAACAAAATCCACTAACAAGGCGCGCAGAGATCAATAAGATTCAGCCAGCGGTACTGTGATCACTTCCACTTCGATGAAAGATACGCTTATCTACAATTCAGTTCTATAATTCATAGCTACAATTCGTTTGAGCGTACAAAGAAGCAACATCTTGAAGTTGAAACTGCCATAGTATTGGTTGTTTTCAAGTTGTAAATTGACTTTCCGCTGGGAAGCTTATAAGGTATTTCACAGATTCGGTCGTAAATGGTTGAGGGGTATGACGTAAAAGATTTGGATTGAAGCTTTTCAAGGCTTCGCTGCTAAGAATATTTTAAGCATTATTTTCGAAATGCCGTATTCACCGACAACATTCACTGTCGTTGGCCTTTTCTAGCGGGCTGGATCTGTAAACGTGCGACATAGAGAGAGTAGGGTTCCATACCCTTTCCTAATCATACTGTTCCTTATATATGTTCATGTTAGTATTCAAATTTATAGCTATAGATTGTAGCTATAAGCATGGCTCGTGTTAGTTCGTCTGGTAGCGGCTACGCTACAGACATGACGCAGCTCAAACACAGAAACACTGTCAGATAGACAAAGACCGCTGTTATTTCCTCATACACAACTGACAGTTTAATGTTCGATTTCTTTTGGCTAATATATGTATATGCACTAAGGACAATTTTTGGACTCTACGAAACAGAGTCTCGTTCATATACACTTAAACCACTTGAATGATTGAGTTGTACTTTCAGTTCTTAACCTATATAAGCCAAACATATCTTCTGTTATGAGATAGATAACGCCCCTTTTGGCAAAAAGCGGGCAACAATAGTAGGTCTTATATATATATATATATATATATATTTATATTCAATGCATACATTTATGAGGCGCATCGTAGCGGATGGGTCACTTTAAAATCGTCGGCAAACTACCAGTAAAATAATATTGGAAAACTTAGTAACGTTACACTGGGGTAACCTAATCAAAGGTAAATTTGAGATAGAAAGCCATGGAGCTCATATTTGGGAGTTATAGAATTGACCAACATGTCTGCTAGCATTTTTGGATCTGTTGTTAGACTTCCTAACTTAAGCCCAATAGCAGTTTAATGCGGATTAGTTCAGTCTCCGTGAGCGCAGGCAAGCCATAAAAGTATTCATCAGCGGCTTGTTGTCTTCTGTTGGTGCACCATTTGAGTCGCTCTGTTGCTTAGTTCCTTACTGAATCGAGAGCGTCTGCCGTCCCGACGCCATGTTCCAGTCAAGCTCCGATTTTCGTGCTATCATCTCGTTTTTCTTGGAAGAGTCATTTACTGATGGGTTCATTGAAACGCGGTTCCTGCCTATATGTGTGTGTGTGTTCGTGTGTTGGGATGCCATTTCCGTCTTGCGGTTCTGTTATGGCTTTATTTTCGACGCGAGATGGCGCCACCAATGCCGCTCCTGCCGACATGCTTACTCGCTGGTCATTCGCTCGCTTTATCTCCAAAAATAGGAGAGTTCATTTTGAACCCCAATCCGTTCGAACGCGAAAGCTGAAATAACACCGCTATACCGCAGCAAAAAAACAATAGAGACAAACCGGTTAGTTTTGTTTCTTTCTGTCTCTCCGGACAGTGCTCGGGGTCGCGTGGTTGTAATCGAGTTAGATCGAGTGTCTGTGTTTTGTTGTCTTTCTCTGGCTAAAATAGGTGTATTGACTTATTCGCTCCATCAGCTAACCATTAATTAGCTTCTTGCGGTGGCTTAGCTGACTGACGCACCGAAATAGAGGTACATTGCTCGTGATCAGAGATAAACACGTGTGCAACCCCTTGTAGAATGTCAGGCGCAGTGGACTATTTCGATGGAACAATGACAACATACGTAGATCCAACCGAGTGGATTTCGACAACTACGTTCCCGCACGTAGATATGACCACATCAGTTCGGTCTGCGGTAGACGTCGTTCGCGATGTTCAAACGGACGATTCAACGATAACGGTGGCAAGTCTTGTCAATTCGAAAGGTGATGATTTTAATCTTACCAGCCTTTTTGGCGACGCTACGGAACATCACCCATCAGTATTGATACCACTAACTTCGCTGTGGACACTGTTCCCGCTCGTATTTATGACGGCATTTTTAGGTGGTGAGTATTATGATACGATTTTAATAAGAGGATTTAATACAGATGCTTGAAGTTGTACTTAAGAAGTACTAATGTACGAACGATTTTGTGTAACTTTATCAATTAGTTCGCTATACCATGTGAATTGTAAAAGTGTGGATCATTAACATGCACCGGTTGGTAAAGTTTGTGTGAGAAAAAACGGTGACGCTAAAAAAGCCGATTATTCTTTGCTTTTATCAATGGTATTCATTACCTAGTTAATATGCCCTATACATAGATGATGGGGTCAGGAGAAATGATTTGCTCTTGCTGCGTCTTTTGAGTAAAACGACTCCAAGGACAGCACGATGTCTTCTAAGAAAAAATAAAGCTAACATGGTAAAAACAGCAACGATTGTCCGGTATGTCAGTTCAATGATGAATATATTATCACCTATTCTAAAAATGTGTCCTATGTTGATACCGACCAAAAGTTTTATTTGCTTTGCTTCATTTAGCCTGGCTGTTCAGATTAAAATATTGGTATTACTATAGCTGCGTAATGGTGGCACTGGGTCTTGAATCGGAAATCAAGTTAACTGATTCCTCTGAACGGGTACCCACCGAGGTGTCTTCGGCGAGATTGTTACGTGCAACTAAGAGCGAGCTTACTCTTACCGGTATCGACGAAACGGGTTTAAACACAACTACTCCCGCCGACGAGTTCGTTACCGTTCGACTATAAATGTTAACGTTATAAAGGTAAACAACTGATTGAGAAGATAATTCTAATGCAGTATTGTTGTTAAATCCACTTTTGACAAAATTTTATAAATTTGATACGATCGCTACTATTCTTATACAATTTTTTGATAAAAAAGAAACTCACATTTTTAACATGTTCAAAAAATAAAATACTAAACAGGATTAATAAATCCACGCGCTGAATGTATAATCAATAGAATCAATATGTGTACTCGTGGAGAAACGAATGAAAACTGGCCAAGCCAAGAAGTATCAAGCAAACACACATAAGTTTAGGCTTACGAGCCAGCACCTAAAAAAAAAAAAAGAAAACGCTTTATTCTATTCATCGATCCAGTGGTTCATTTTTTCGGTGTTCCTATATCTGTGCTGTGTGCTTGAACGGATAATTCGACTTTAATCACATGCCCCCGGTGTGCCATCCACTAACAAGGATCTTCGAATAAGTTCATTGACATGAGTCAAGAACGATCTCTGGCAATGAACATTCAGAGCCATAGGTAATTATGGGCGCAGACGATGGCGCTCTCACGATAGGTATTCCAATCTGGCCGCTATAGCTATACCCTGCTTTTGATGCGGGCCCAAGCAATAATACACTAACGAAAATTGAACGTGCAGGACTAATTCTGAAGAATCTATGGAGGCGATCCAGGCTGTTGGCGTAATAATGAAAAGCCGTATGACAATAGCCACAATAACATGAAGACCGTCTAACCAGCTTCAAGATTGAATAGTTACATGCACCTCAAGAAATACTCGTATATATATATATATATACAATGCCTCGTGTTATTATGATGATCACTAGTATATTGTCACTGGAAACTTTTCAGGGATCAAACTTGAGCCTTAAGTTAACTTTCTTTCTTACACCGAATAGACACGTTTTTCGTTCTTATCCAACGTATCTGGAGTCAGAGCCAGGGCCTTTCAATCGGACCAACTACTATAGTGCTAATAACAGCAATTGATCCTCCAACGTCGCATATGTAACACGTTTAACTGCAGCCATGTGCGTTCGATCGAGCGTGAACGAAATATACAAATCAGACGTTCCCTATGTCCGAGCCAGACGTTCATGGTTAGCAGACCTAGCCCTTGACCGTATTCGATCGTATTCATGGAAACTGCAATCCAGAAGACAAAGAGTGCTATTAGACTGTACGTATTGCTTACATTAATAATAAATAATTCAAAATGTATGTAAGTAGAGTTGTTATAGAATCCTTTCTAGGTCCTGCTTTTTTAGGTAAGGTTGGCAAGAGGAGGAAGAAGCGCAAGGGTTACGCTCTATTTACATATCGTATTTATACAGCTTTTGTCTACACACTTAAACGCGTCCTATTAAGGGAAGTGAGAACATGTGATCTAAATGGTCGCCATATACGGCGGGACGAGTATGAAAGCAGGCTTAGGGTCAAATATATTCAGGTCGAATAGGAAAAATGAATTTAAACTTGGGGAGCAAGTAAACTTATAGTTGGAGCAACTTATCTCACTTATTAACGTAGTTTCTGCTTAACGGGAAACCTTTTTTGCTCGCAACGGAATACTGATGTCTTACTCAACTCTCCCCATTTCTACACTACATTTGAGAAGACATTCACTGTAATTGATTATTATTATGTACTATTTATCTCTGTTTTGGTTGTGTTTAGTATGAGGGAAAGATTCCCATTCTAGTGAATTGTGCGCACCACCATAACGGCGTTGATATTCTCTCATTCCCCACAAGGATAATATAATTAGAGGAAAAGCATAGCATGTGCTAATGCATCTCGTCACTGCTTGAGTAGTTTGAGTAACGGTATTAGGTAGTTGCTCGGTAGCTTGGTTTACCGGCTGTTCTCGACTCTCGGGACTGTCAATGTCCATTACGTGGAGCCTGCCCAACGTCGAGCGGGTGAGTACACGAAAACTACATAGGCAGTAGCAATCTGTCTATCGCCTGTCTATCAACAATCTTCATATTTTCTTTTTACGCTGATGCTGCTGCTGCTGCTGTTCTTGTTGATTTCTACTGGAGTTCGGCACGATTCGTCACGATGCCTATCAGACCACGTTATCAGGCAGCCACCATCGTCCTATCTGGCTCTCATATATCGACCTTCCTTCCGATGCTATCAGGATGTGCGATTGGATGTTTCAGTGCCTTCCGTGTTAGCTGTCCGAGATGGTGTTATGTAACAGCTATACATTTGGGGAAGTTTGTCCAACTGTTGACAGCTAGTGGGTGCAAGTATTATATGAGACGTACAAATGTGCCAATATGATCCTACTGGTCCATGCGGGTAAAGCACCTTATATAATGAGACAAGGACATTGGCGAGCCTGTGCAAAGTGTATGTAAAACTGTAACAAAACTGCGATTGTGCTTCAATCTGTGAAAAACCATCGATACGAAGTAGAAATATTGTATAAAATATCGAATACCGCAAGACATTAACGCATGCTTTCCGTTAGGCAAATCATAGCATATCCAATCGTAACATTACAGAAAAGTTCGTTTCAGGGTTCATACAGCCCGGAATATCCAATAATTCTTTTCAACTTGCCCTTTCTTGGTAACTTTAATTTTCATCTATTGAATCCAGTTATCAGCGTGAATAATACGTATTTAGTTACGCATATTTTCTAGCCGCGCCGCTTTGTTATCGCCTTCAAATATGGATTAGCAGTATTCTTCGGAATGCGGTTTAAGCCTTCCGGCGACAACACGTATTACAATTTGGTTACATCGCAGCGGTTTTTTCAATCGTATTCATGACAAATGGCCACGTTTCGAAAGCCCAGCCTTTCACTGGCGGGTATAGCTAAGCATGTGCAGAAAATTTTCTTGTCTCTGTGTGCCGACCTACCGTGTGTACATGTACATTGGGTGTAGTTGTCGATGATTTATCAATATTCCGTTGCCGTTCTTCTGTTGATTTTCCACGCTTCTGCGAATGTCCGGTCTGCTTGCCTTGACACCTGCACTCATCGCCAGTCGAAACTGACCGGCCGACGCAGCCTGGTCCAGCACGCTCGCTGTACGTGCAGATCGTGCGTATGTGCCACCGCACCCGTGTACATACGCAACTCTCCAGTTAGTTGGGCTGTGCATTCGCCATGGGGTACATACGTACTTAAACCTTATTGTGGTACCTCACCGTTTCATGCATGCTCGTTTATCCGTATTTGCGAGCTTAACGATTCATGTTTTCTCCGTCCTCTTGAGTGCTTCGTCTAGGCCCTGGTTCATCCATCTGCCTATTCACGTGGCAAGGGGTAAGGGGACGACAAAAAGGACACGCGTTATCTAACGCCCTTCGTCTACTAAAAGAAACGATTCTTTCTGCTCTTCCGAAGTTTTCTCACAACTTTGCAACGCGGCCGGAATTCTACTCGTTGGACTATTTCTTCTTTATACTGTCACCTTTGAGCAGCTATTTCGGCTACCGCCATGGCTTTCAAGCTCGCGCTAGAACCTCGTACTCTCCTTTTCGCTCTTCCTTGCCTAGCTACGTTGTCATATGGTCGGTGTTTCCTCAGCTTTTGATCGTCTTTTCTACTGTTTGACATTCGATACGCGGCGCTGCCTGCTGCCACCGACCGATGAGCTGGCCAAGGCCTTTTTATCTCTTTTCTAACCGAGCAACTGCTTACGGCCTACCGCCGCCGCAGCAACATCGACGGCTACATCGCCTTGTCGCAAAATGTTCCCTATAATCGGTAACCCCATGACTTTCCCTTACGTCGCCCTAAAGCCCCCGTTCAAGGAAGTGCCTGTCAAGTCGCGCCGGGTTGAGACAGAGCCCCTATTGCTAGTGCTGCTAGTGCTAATAGTGGTGAGCTCATCGTTTCGTTCACCGGAAGCCACCGTTCACACCCTCATCCGGCCGTTTTTCCGGCAGAAATGCTTCCGCTCTTTGGCGGCGGCGGTAGCAGCGGGCACGAGAGAGCGGCCACGAAGCTCGCAACAACACTGACACAGGGAACCTACACATACGCATCGACACACACTGTTACACCATATACCCGTAGAAGGTGGGGGGTACAGGCACAAGCAGATACAGCCCAACATTTACCACCCCACACAGTCGATACGCCTTTCAAGTTGCAAGTATTGGGAACTTCATCGAGGGGGAGGGCTATGGCTCAATTGTCACCAACTACTAACAATTACCAGCTTGCTGCAACGCAAGATTCGATTTGGTTAGCCGTGGCATGCCTCTTCTCCCTTTACCCCCTAACACTACGTCTTCCCTGGAGGCTGTTACCGTAAGTAGACGAAAGAATGAGCAGACGAACGTTCGTTTACTTGTTCTTACATTGGACGCCACATACTGCATAAGCAGCGGCGGCGGCGAAAGCCGGTGAATCGCTGTAAAGAGTTCGGCTTCGATCATTTCTCCGATATCTAATGACTACGAGCGGAACAGAAACGCCACAAACCAAAACTGCTGAACGGGGCCACAGAAGTGCTGCTGCCCTCAGCTGGTTTTACTGCTGCTATTGTCTGTAGCACAGTGAGATCCGCGTATTCGGCGACGAAGATGACGCCCAAGTTCGGACGATGAGCAGTGAACCACTGGATTGGTAGCATTCTTTCTCGTTTTCACCGACTACTTTCACCACTCGTTCGACAAGGTTCCTTACAAAAGTCGTGGGTTGTATAGCTCTAATAAGTGGTGGCAAACGGTCAGCCTGTTTGAACGACTTTCTATTATTATTATTATTTGGCAAAGTCGATTCCTGTTTTGCTCTGTTCTAGCTAGCTGCTGGCGAGAACAGAGGTCCCTGCAAAGCTGAAAGATAGTTCGACAAGATTACTATGAAGAACGATAGAGTGGTCAGCGGCGAGATTGGATATACCAGAAAAGAAATAGTAGCTGAGACGGAGCAAAGAAATGACGGGATTAAGTGAGAGAACTGAGAGAACCTTTACCCCGGGATACTAGATGCCTCGCCAAATCGATTAGACAATTCAAAATGGAAACACCTACTACGAGTGGACGATTCTTGAGGCCATGAAATTAAGCCCACTCTTGTCTCATTTCCGTCCCTGTAAATACATACACAGGCATGCACATTTATACATTAGTACTGTTTGCATGCACAGACAAAAATCAACTGACCGACCTATCATTATTAAGAAAAAGGAATTATATCGCTTTCTGCAAGGGTGATGTCAAACTAAACCATCAGGGTGGCGCATGCCAAACAAGATGTACGCCGTATTATAAAATCGCTCAGCTATCAGCATAATATATTTTTTCCGCCGTGGCCACTGCTGTTACCGCTGACCCCTGTTTGCTCAAAAGCAATTCATCATTAAGTAACGACGAACGACAGGCCGGTGCACGCACGCGCCCTTAATATTGCTATATCAAGCGGGGAGAGACAGACGTTCTTTGTTTTTCTCATTGCTTTCCTCGTCTTGGTCAAAAAAAGCCGGCGGTTTAGGGGCCATTACAATGGTGATCCATAAAAGGCGGTAGGCAATGCAAAGAACTACTTCCTCAAAGAGTACAGCATAGATCTGCATTTGCATGGCTTGAGCACAGTCGAAGTATGTCTGTTGTCCACCGCTCCGACTTCGTGAAGTAGCAACGGTGGCAGCCCTAAAGCTAATGTCGGGTTTTTCTTCTTGCCGCTGCTATTGGAGTTGTGACCATTATTGCATTGCTGGTTTTGCCCGCTGGGCAGCTGGTGGAACTAGTAGTTGCAGTGGCAGATTTAACCTTGCCTGCTGTTGGATAACAATGGATACTTGGTAAAGAAAGAAGCGAAGCGGTTTAGGGCAGCGCTGCAGTAGTTGAGGCCAACTGGACGGTAGGCAGCAGTAACGTTAGTCGCATCGTCTGCGATCCTTAAGCCTCATTAACTTGTAAGCATGTTGACCCACCACAAATTTTGCCTGTTCTCATACGTGGCATGGCTGAGTTCACCCAGCACGGTGACGCCCGTTAGAAAGCACGTTCACCAGACATGCCTGCCTGCGCAACTAAGCCAGGCCAGAGTTGGCCTCCAAGCGAGACTAAAAGTATGGAAGTCGTCAGCACTCACTGCTAGCTCCTCTGCTGTTGCTGCTGCCGCCAGATGGTGGCCAAGACCGCAGAATGGGGAGAGAGTCAGACGAGGTGGAGTCTCAAAAGGCACTACTAACATAGCGCAGTGTAAGGACTAGAAAAGTATGGCTTGGTTGCTAGTTTCAAACAAACTCAGATTCATCATTCTCTATCATTATCACCGTCGTTGTCATACTGCTGGTGCTGCACAGTACTCATACCACTGTTGTTGCTACCGTCACCCCCCCCCCCCCCCCCGCTACTGCAGCCCGTCCACTACAGTGCTTTGGTCGGCCGGCTCACCCCATAGAATGTAAAAGAGTAATTAGACACATCCTGCAGAAATGGCAGAGGTCTCAACTGGGTCGCACCCTTCGGCTGCTTTTGACCCATCCTTGGTTTGTTCTGCGAAAAGCGATGTTTAGAGGCTGGTGCTACCGCCGCCATGGGCCATCATCCGGCCATAGTTGGTGTTTTCATGGCTATATTTTAAAGGCGTCGTTCTGACGGCTTGCTTAAGCAACGCTAGCATTTAGAGAAGGCTTCACCCGCTGAGAGAAGAGATTCGGCGACTGTTTCAAGTCGGCGTCGAGCTAGCATTTTGCCTTGTTGTCGTTGGTTGTCTCCTTATACCGACGTCCTGCTCAAAGAGCGCAGGTCTGCCCTGCAATGCGTCATCATGCGTGGTCACGCCGGCAAACAGGCAAGCGGGCGGCCGCCGCAGGATGTGCGTACGTGGTTTTCATTGCGAGGTTGTCTTTATGTCCCTTCTTTCATGGCCCTAGAGGGCTACGAAACACAGCGGTCCTGCTATTCAGAATGGCTTCCATCCTGAAGCGACCGCTCCCCGCCATCCGCTTGCCTGTGTCTCGCGTCTATTATATCCCCCACGACACGCTCTAGAACGTCGTGACATGCTCTTTTCTCCCGCGGGAATTCCGTGGCCCTCCGGCCAGAAGAACTTTGCGGTTTGAACGAACAGGCTCCTCTGCTCACGATGGCCTGGTACCGTACTGCGTGGTTTTCCCTGTTTCGCGCTCTTCCTGTTTTACTCTCTTTCTCTCTGAGACGACAATGCCCTCATATGGTAAACTGATGCTACGAGAGGCCTCAAATGGCGAATGTTCACTGGTTTGAATTATCACACTGTCAAGTATGAAACGATCAATATATCGTAAGTTAAAATGTGACGCGGCCACTTAGGCCGTGTGCCTAACAAGGACGTGTGTTATATGATTATCAAACACGAGTCCTTGACACCCTACCGTCAAATTGCCCTGGTTTTGAAGCGTGTCTTCGGAAATACTCATATGGAAGATATGGAAAAATTCTATCTCATTCCTTAGCCATGAATGAATAAATACAATATACGACCCCTAATGTATGCAGAGAGCACATTTCTCCTCACATATTTATGACGAAGAATAGGTGTCGTCCAAGAGGCGTTTTACAATTGGGAGCCATGATGGTATTTTTTCAAAATAACATGTTATGTCAATAGTGCTACAAGCCATAGCTAACTTCCTATTCACAATGCAATGTTATGCATATGTTTGATTGTACCCTGCCTAATACAAACGTCAAACGGTATGATAATCTTAAACACGAAAGCATCCTGTGAATACGACACTGCTTTAATTGGGTCAAGGGGCTTTTGATTTAATAACTAGCTGCGCGTTATCCGCTGATAGAAATAATCTATAGCTACTTTCCGAAAAACGCTCATATTGTTGTACATGCCACTTAGCGTACTAGTAGTAGAGATGATGTTCGCCGCCATCGAAACTAGTAAGTCAAACGATAATAACACCTTGCTGTATTTCGTTCTATTCGAGAAATCTATTACTTTCGAATAGGTCTATCGTAAAAGTCGAAAGCCTCCATAAAGTGCCTATACGTATAGGCGTATGATTACGGATTGCGTGCTTTGTCTAATTTGACACATTTACGACTGGGTCAACCGTGGCTTAGCAGAAGCCTAGATCGGATTCAGGCAACCGCACAAACTAAGACTAGTTCATTTTAATCACGACCTGCTGCATCGTCTGGAAACTTGCACCGAATTGGCGTGGTGAGTACGCGATAGTGAAGCCGTTGCCAGATCGAGCATGGCAACTGTTGCTTATGCTGTTATCGCTACTGCTCGTGCAGCCCTTGCTGAAGCCATTGATTTCTAAATTATGCCATATCACTATGGAA